CTAGCAGGGTATCCGCGCGATGCTGCGGCGCCAGATAGTTTATTTCGTTAGATAGTTTTCTTGCGGCGGTTAGTTTCCTTTTCGTTTCAGATAGTTTGTTTTAGCCTTTTAGCAGATTGTTTTTTTTTTGGCGATTAGCTTTCTTTTGCCATGTTGTTTCAGGATAAAAAGATAAGTATGTTGCTAATTTGCAATGCGACAGACATCGATATAGCTATTAGTTCCCATTCGACAGATGGATTTGAGATGCTATGCAGACAAATAGATTTTTCGATGTGAATATTTTCCGGTGCCGATTAATTATCTTTAATTATTTTTGACTGAGTGTTTCAGGTTATAAATAAATGTATGTTTGTGATTTAAAGTAAAAACAAAAGTACATTGTAATTGTATGTTAAAAATAAAATTTTGTTTAACTACAAATAAAAAATGTTGCTATTTAAAGTAAAAATAAAATTACGTTGTTGTTTTAGGTTAAAATTTTATTTTATTTTTTATTTTAAACAATTAAGAGTATAACTTTAATGTGACAATTAGTTTCCTTTGACGCCAGATAATTCCTTTCGGACTTCTGGCAAATCGTTTTGTTTTTGTCTGGTAGTTCCTTTTGTTAGATTGTTTCTAGGTAGTATGCATCCTTAGAATTCATTGGGTGGTAAATAGTTTACTTTCGGTTGTTATTTATTTCTCCAATTGTTAGTAAATGATTATTTAGTAGGAATGTGACATGAAAAAAAAAACAAAATGAAAAATCAAATAAACGATTTATTTTGAAAATCAACGATTTTAGACTTGTTTTTACCTAATTGTTCATTTATATCGAAGGGCCAAAAAATTTAATCATTTATATACAAAGACTTCATTTGCATAATTTTAGAAGTGTGACATTGATTAATTCAAATTTGCAATTAAATATCTTCCAAGTTTGTTTAGCGAAATATATGCGAATTTTAGGCTTAACCATCTTTAAACAAATCCAAGATTAAGGTTATATCATCAATAATATGTAAAAGTTATAAAGTTTGACCAATAATCGAAACATATATTTTTTTTTATGAAGTTGAAAATAAAAAAATGAATCAATTTAAATAAACAAATCCAAGATTAAGGTTATATCATCAATAATATATAAAAGTTATAAAGTTTGACCAATAATCCAAACATACATTTTTTTATTTATGAAGTTGAAAATAAAAAACTCAATCAATTTAAATAAACATTTATTTTTGTATCGAAAATTGAAAATAAAAAGATATTTCATTTTTCTAAAAAAAGGAAAATATAATACAATACAAAAATTGAAAAAAAAACATATTTCATTTTTCTAAAAAAAAGGAAATATAATACAGTTTTCCTAAACTGAACCAAGCCTTAGTTTTCATATGATCACCAATAAATCACATCGATAACGATTCTTGTCACCATTTGATTATAGATGTTGTATCTAACATTAAACTTAGAACACGTAACCATCAATTTGAAGTCGTAAACTAATCCAGAGAAATTGAGGGGGGCGTTTTGCTATTATAAGATACTTATAAAATCTAATATCCCATATTAATACTAAGTTATTGAAAAATATGACAGATTATTGGAGTTCCTTTTTGTGAGCGATATCTAAAAAATTGGAAAATAAAATAGAAAACTTAAAAGTTAAAAGAAATTTAAAGTATAACGTTGCAATGTTCTAATAAACAGATAAGTTCATATATAACAGTAACATTACAATTCAATTGCATAGACAATAAACCATGTCGCAAAAAGAAGCATAAGGAACATAGTTACGAAAATTATAAAAAATGTGCATCAAAAAAGTACAATGCTAAAATTGGATTATCGTTTCATAGTCAAATGCCTTCATAAGAAAAAAATGGAAGTAAGATACTATAAATGAAAAAAAAAGATAAGAGTTATTACACACAAGGACAAGATTTTTGCTTCCATTTCAACTCATGTTTTCCTTGGTGAAGCTTTCTTTTAAATTATTACAACTATTTATTGATTTCTCACCTGATCATTTTGATTTCTCACCGGATTGAGAATTAACACAATGATACAGATCCAAATCAACATGTCATGATAATAAAAAAAGTAAATGAGTGATAATAACCCTTTTTTTGTCAATAATTGCACCCCATATTTTTGGGCGGAACAAAACCGTATGGATTTTACTTGGTGCCATTTCAATACAGAACAAACATCAGGTCCCCTAGGATGAAATCACAATTACTTAACATCAGGCCCCCCTCCAAATTTCTAATCAACTCCTCTACAAATCAACACTCCACTAAAATCATCAAGTTCGACTGATTCAATACCCATAATCATTCACCAACCAGATGTGTTGAATAATATAACAACACTTAGGGTCAAAATGATTCAAAAGAGTAGTTGTGAAATTTTATTTCACCATAGAATTTAATCAAATTCATTCTGTTTTGTGACTTAGCTTTGAGAAAATTTAACAAAAAAAAAAAAAACAAATGATACTTGCAAAAGTTTTTAGAATAATAACATTCTAACATCAAGTTTCTAATGGATTTAATGTGGCTTCAAAACCATTAATGTCATCCATAAAACCTATCACTCCATCTCCATGAGTTCCTTCTGCCCAACTATTAGTACATTTTTGCTCCACAATGCATGTGACTTTCCTACAAGAACACACTTCTAAATAAAAATAAACATAGTTTGAAGGATTCAGAGGTTGAAAATGTGAAAATTTACCTGTTCTTGGCTTGGGTCTGGTGAACACATATGGTTCCATTCCCATATCTCCAGGAAAGTAGCATGTCCACCCTCACCCTATTACAAATGCAAAATAGACAATACCTTAATACCATAATCAATATACAAAGCGTAACCATTTCAGATAATCACTAAGAAAGGGAGAAATAAACATATATTGTATTTTATCAGCACCAAATCGGATCTGATTGTAGCTTACATTGATAATTTTAACCCAAAAAAAAGCCAAAAGTACCCTAATCGTTAAAAAAAAAATACAAAGAACCAAGAACATGAGGCGACAATGGTTACCTATTCCTTGCCAAAACAGATCAAAGACCAAGGGTTTCATTAGAGATCTAATTCGTCATGACTCTTAACAAAACCCCCGTTGTATGATATATGAGCTTGAAGATTTAGCACCAAAGAAATCAAGAATTACGAAGCAACGTTGGTAAACCCATTAAGACATGAATAGATCATTCTTTAGACTGCAAGTTCTTTAAAGTATTAGCAAAAAGAAACAATGAACCTTTTCAATTAATCATTCTTCCAAATTCAAATTTTCTTTGTAATAATTGGTTTTTTTTGGAAAGAACTGTATGGTAAAGCTTACCTGATTATATCCATTTATGTGTGTATGAGAGAGAGAGAAAGGGGTAGCCATCTCATTTGTATTATACAGTTTTATTTTCAAATAAGCAACTTCATCTGATGAACCATATATTATGATTTATGGGAGATATAAAGTAATAGAGGTGAAACATGTAGACAATCCAATGAAGATAATTCATAACCTGAGGAAATCAAATTGATTGAAAGAAAGTCTAACCCACTTGTACCTGCATCCAAAACAAGGAACATTAAACTAAGTTATCAGCCCAAAGGGAAATCATTTTGCACAATTTTTTAATTTTGAATCAGAAATTAGAAAAAAAAAATTGGTAAAAATAGCACCTGAGAGTGGTGGTTCCGTGATTGCTCACTGTTTCTCTAAAAAAAATTATGTAACTCTCTTTCAAGCACAAATTACCTCAGATGCTTTTGATTCCACTTCCCCTCTAGGCCTCTCCATTTAAACAATTGCATGTTCTGGATAATCACCATCGACATACAAAATAAAAAGATTTTCAAATCTGGGCAGAAATTCACATATGGTGTATAAAGGAAATGCAAATTCACATAGGGCAGAAGAACATACCTATCAATGAAAAATGCATGTGTCCTATTACAGTAAGAGGAAGTGCAGTGTATATTTTTGACCTCCTGGTTGATTCTAAACTCAGAAACAGAAAACAAATTAGAGATCAAATAATCATACTCGAAAATTAAACCAACATCATCACACACAGCAATCCCACTTTCTCGTTGGACCTCTTTGTTGAGTTCTTTGAACCTGCAAAGCCAACACAATAGAGAAACATAGTAAAAACCTTTTTAGGAACAAATCTGATAGAATAAGGCCTTCACCCAAGATATTTATAAAATAAAAATACAACCATGTCCATAAGATAAAAAAAAACAAATTTGTTTGAAATCAAAATAAACAATGAAAACACTTTGCTAACATATCGGCAACAACGAAAATCCGAGCATTCTTATGTTACAAAATAAACAAAAAAATCAGAAACAAAATTGAGCATATTTTAAAAAACAGGAGAGATAAACAAAATCTTGAAGCTCTAACATTTGATGTGTCGCATCTAACAACTCCAGATCTGGGCGTTTTGATTTTCGATTCCAACTGAGGATATGAACAAATAAGAAGTAAGAATAAGGAATCGATTGATGTAGTGGTGTCTAATCGTTGTTGAGGTGCAAGATATCTCTAAATCCACCGTAACCGTTGCGTAGGCGGGGTGGATTTTAGATGATAACATGACCAATTCGAGATAATCAGTGTTATTAGATAGAGAGAGAGAGAGAGAGAGAGAGAGAGGGGGGGGGGGAGGGAGGGAGAGACGCGTAGAGGAAATCAAGAAGAGGATTCTTACCTGAATCGGACCCTCCAAGAACCACACATGGCCAATGAACAAAGGATCTGATGGTGGTCCAACAGAGGATGTAGTGAAGGAGAGATTGATAGCGGCTAAGGTTTTTTCCAGGAAAAATGGCTTGACCTGATGTTGAATGGAGCGAGCGAGAAAGAGAAAGAAACTCCTTTTTGGTTCCCGACGTGTGAAATTTCAATTTCAAAAAGATTTAAATTGCCCGCCAGATGTGAAGAAGGTGGGGGGTAGGATGAGTTGTTTGTATCTTCCGTGTCATAAGGATGAATGCAATTTACTTTATTGGTTAAAACCATTTCACAAGGATTACGATTATAAGAATCATCACCATCCATTTGAGATTTAATGGTCCATAATTACTCTCCTTGTATTTTAAGATAGATGTCTTAAAATTGATGGACTCACACTTATAAACTATTTATAAGATGGTGTATATATATATATATATATATATATATATATATATATATATATATATTGTAAGTCCCAATTTCAATGATCCAAACCAGTGATCAAACAGATAGTAATCAATCAGAACAAGAATGGANAGAGGAAAGATTAAACCAAACATGCACACGTTAATATCACAAAAACGTCAGGTACACCTTGGATACACACATACGTCACTCAACTGACACTGACAAGCTCTATTTATAGGACCACTAGCCGAACACCCGTGTACGGCCGTACACAGGAGTACGGCCGTACACACGACCACGACCGTACACAACTACAAAAGTTACATATACCAAATTAATGCCCAAACCCCTACAAATACTTATACAAGATGGATGTCTAGCCCAAACCACATAATTATGACCTATCAATCTCCCCATTGGCTTGTGGCTAGCATAGACTCAGTCTTTCTCAATGATTAGTACATCAGATCCTTCCATGACACCACACCACATCTGCTCCTTAATGATCTCCGCAACCATAATGTACTCCTTAACGGCAGATTCAAAGATCTCTTCGGCAACCCGGATTTGATGAAGAGCCAATTGATGAATATCCCTCTTTCCAAATTGAAAAAGATCCTTCTTGTCAAACAAACGGAAACAGCCATCTGGGAATTTTATGACAGCAGAAGTTGTGGCTTCATCAAATACCCAATAGAGCATGTTTCTTAAAGTGACAATGTGGAATATTACAAGAGCATACATGATTTCAACTCTTTTACGAGAGTTGACTACCAATTGTAAGTCCCGATTTCAATGATCCAAACCAGTGATCAAACAGATAGTAATCAATAAGAACAAGAATGGAGCAGATGAAAGATTAACCCAAGCATGCACACGTTAATATCACAAAAACGTCAGGTACACCTTGGATATACACACATACGTCACTCAATGACTGACACTGACAAGCTCTATTTATAGGACCACCAGCAGAACACTCGTGTACGGTCGTACACAGGAGTACGGCCGTACACACGACCACGGCCGTACATAACTACAAAAGTTACATATACCAAATTAATGCCCAAACCCCTACAAAGACTTATACAAGATGGATGCCTA